GAGCAGTGATAAGCTCCAGCGGCAAGAGCCGGCGGAGTGCAAACACCAGATAAACCCCCTGTGGCCAAAACACGCCGCCAAGTATTGGCAAAGCCCTGGGCCTGCCGGGCGTCACAGGGACATGAGGCTGGAACAGAGCCAGGCTTCCCATTGAAACCCGGGGAGAGGGGCTCCCCCTCCACCAGTGAGTCTGGAAAACCCGTTTCCCCGTTTCATGGAGCAACAGCGTCTGTGAGGTGTGGCCCTGGGACAGGGGAGAGCACATACAGCCTCATGAATCTCGTGCCCCCGGCTTGACAAGTAGACCCCAAGGGGCCGGGAGGTGTGAACCCCGCGCCAACAGGGAGCATGTTCTGTCCTGCAGACCAGGCATCGCGGGGACAGCCCCAAACTAGATGAGAGTGGTGGTGACACACAGAGAGAGAGAGAAACGTGAAAGACGGTCTTTTACCCAAAAACGAGCTAAAAAGTCACCACTCTGAAGCCCGTGAAGACATCGAATGCTCAGAAGAATGGCCACCAGAGTCAATCATCGTGATATGAATTGACTCCAGTGAAATTAAAAGAACCGTCAGGAATAAAGGGCTTTAAAGTAAGCAGACTTAGGATCGTCCATGAGATTGATGAAGAATAGACATGGGGGCGGGTCAGAAATGTAAGCAGATGAGACGGCTGTGAATAGGATGTCTTAGAAGGAGATACAGTACGCGGGGATGGAGTGGTGCGCTCTTCCCTGTCCTTCCGGCAAAGCACAATTAAAGACGGCTTTTTAAAAGACTCTAAAAGGTGGAGAGCACAAGGCAGACTGGCTTGGCTGCTCAGTACCCCAGGAATGACACCGTGGTGAGTCACTGGAGTATTCTTTTGTGTCATATCTCTCAGACTTACAGCTGAATAAACGAGCAACCTGGGAATGCCAATGAATGCAGACAAAAAGCCCGCCCCCAAAAAGCTTGCTTATTCAAGCCAAAGAACCAGGAAGGGAGCAGCCTAAGACAGAAAACGTTTAGACAATAATCACTCCACTCCAGCCAAACACCACCGCTTGTGCCAACAGAAGCCCAGGAGGAAACGTAGACTTGCACCCCTGCCAAGCTAAAATGAGGTGCTGCACCCCCTGCCCCTGCTGGGGTGGCAGGAGAGAAGGCCAAACACGTCCCAAATGTGATTGAATACATTAATCTGCACATCTAAGAAGCTCACACACTCCAAGTAGGGTAAACATCAAACATGTAGATCAGGCATATCAAACTCACGACCCACAACAAATATTTTTGCGGCCCAGCCAATACCACGGTATGTAAGAAACGTTTTAATAAAAATTTCGTGACTTAATTTTTACAATATCCTGTTATACATAATCTATACTAATAAAAGGGTAATATGCTAATTAGACCGAGAGACCTTCCAGGAGACCTTCCGGACATTCTTCTGGACAAAGCCATGGTGGC